AGCTAGCGCTGCCATAGCTGTAGCCTAGCATGTGTGGTGTGTGAAGTATAATACTGAGTGTTGCGTGTGGGACATCCAGGGTGATCCAGAGTGCGAACAGTGAGTTGTGTGGGCGCCCAGTCGCCATAGCCAGTTGAAGAGAACTCATATCTGGTTACGATATCTTGAGTATTGTGTGGGCGCATGTCGCCAGTTGCTGTTTCGCTGTTTGCATACATGACAAGTTGAATAATCAGAAGTGTGAAGAAGTCGAGTATGATTGCACTTCTTCCCCCGAAATAGTGCACAGTCATCATGAATGCATACAAAGCTTTTTACAAACTATTTTTCTGGTCCATTGCAGTCATGATGAGGGTGCGTTGTGTTTGGGGTAGAAGCTCAATCCTGACCTTCGAAACTTGCGGCCATGCACAAGGATGCTGTGCTTTCCATCTATCGCCCTGCCTGTGGCCGGCCGGCTCTATACGTACTTGAATACGGACTCAGTGGCACTGGTGGTTTACAAGTTTGAAACATTTATTAATTTTTAATTTTTAATTTTAATATGATTTTATTCAATTTATTAAAATTTATTTGGTATTGTTTCTCACTTCTACTGCATCTGCCTTGCCTGTTACGGACACCGCCAGGGCTCGATCCCTGGTCTACTTTTTGCTGTTTCTGCTGCATCCCGTTTTTGGCCTGACACCCTTTTTCCAAACCCCTCCTTTGGTACCGTCGGATTTTGGACAACTGGCGCCATGCTGCAATTCGGGCGCCACTTTCAAATGCCGCATTTTTCAGTTCTGCCCTCGGGGCTTTTGCAGAGATGCCCCTGGTACCGTACGTGTCACCGACACTTATACCGGTTCCCCGTACAGTACGGGCAACCATTCTCATACCAGTTTCAGCTGCTGTACTCGTAACTCAGTGGGACTTGCTCCTGTTTTCGGCATTCGGAATCCAAGACTTTCGACTTTGTGTCCTTGCCACTGTGTCTGCGTCCGACCCTGAGTCGTGTCGAGTGAGTGAGTGTGTGTGTGTGCTCTCACTCTCTCCCTCTCTCTCCCCTCTCCCTCGGCTCTCCCTGTCTCCCTCAGCCTCGTGCTCGTCACATTGCCCCTGTTTTATACAAACAGCTCAGAAGTTCAAATTTGTATTAAAATATTAATTATATTTCATATTTATTTTTAAAAAACGATTTAATACAAACAGAATCTGCCTGTGTTTGTGGACACATAGACCTCTTTTTTTTTCTTCCTTTTGTCCTTTTGAAGGCTGAGTGTGAAAAGGTCGGTAACACCTGCTGCTGTTCGCCCTATCCAAACGTCTTCACCCTACTGTGAAATCAATGATTTTCTTAAAACCACCAGTACTTGGCCCAGCTATAGGCCACAGAAAAAAAAGGAAAAAAAAGAGTAGATACGTTTCTAGTTGGATGAATTTGGGAGCTCCTGTAGTGGCTTGTACGTTTCCTAAAATTGTCGTTTGTTAACGGGCACAACTTTACGAAGTACTGTTGGCTTAAAACTCAAGATTCTTTGCGGGGAGTGTTAACGTGGGGATATCCTGTCAGGACAACCATTGGCTGCCACTGCCAGCAATCACCGCGGGTCTGGTCCTTGGCCTCTACAACACCCTGGGTTGTAATGGGGGGAAAAAAAAACAAAAAAAAAAAACTCAAGATTCTTGGAGGAAGTCAACAAGCTGGAAGAGGACCGAAAAAGGGGAGAGGTGGTTGGGGCAGCTGTTGATATGAAGGAGAAGAGGTGGTTGGGGCAGCTGTTGATATGAAGGAGATGTCTCGTAAGTTACCCCATATGTAGGTTCAAAGAGCGGTAGAATGGATATATTGGATCCGTTTTCCAGCAGGTGCCGCTCCCCACCAATAGACTGGAGCCACCCTACAGGGGGGCTACCGTCTTCACCCGAATAGAACGTCCGGTCAGTATAGCTGTATTTGGGGCAACTTAAAGTCCTGATACAGCGATAATTACTGGGCATTCTATTCGGGTGAAGACAGTAGCAGGGGCTGGTCGTGCCCCAAAGTCCTGATACAGCAATAATTACTGGGCATTCTATTTGGGTGAAGACAGTAGCAGGGGCTGCTCGTATCACCAATGGATATTGCTATATTGCTAGCCTGCCCAGAGGCAGTGTTTCAAAAAAAAAAAAAAAAAAAAAAAAAAAAAAAAAAAAAGAAAGAAAAGAAAAGAAAAGAAAAGAAATGGGAAGGGGATTGCTCTCTGCCCATGGGATCTGCATACACAGCCTCATCAGACATCCAGTACAGTGGACAACAAAGGCAACCATGCAGCTAGTTTTGTATGTACAAAGGGACGTCGGGCCCGGTTTCCGGCAGGTGCTGCTCCCTACCAATAGATGGAGCCACCCCGAGAGTGCTAGTGGTGCCTGCTCTTACCAGCACCCCTAGCATTACCTTGGGTTGTTTTTCTGTACAAAAAACTGCTAGTCCACTCCACTGAAAAGAGAGAAGTGGTGATAAAGAGGAGGAGAGGGGGGCGTCTTGTGCTTTCAGAAATCTGGCTGATGGGTAGATCAACGTTGGGTTTAATATGATTCTGAACGACACCTTTTTGGTTGCTTCTGGATGGCTACTCATGCAGAGGGATGGGAAAGTAAAGTTACAAAATGAAAGACAAATCAAAAGGAAGGGAGGGAGAGAGAGAGAGGGGGGATGGCAGCGAAAAGAGGAGGAGGAGGAGGAGGAGGAGGAGGAGGAGGAGGGGGAGGAGGGGGAGGAGGGGGAGGAGGTGCTATCTACCTTCTTTAGGCGCATATGGCTGGCAATGATCTCTGCCCTCTCAGTGTCAAACTCTTCTTCCAGCATGCGCAGATGCATTCTGAATTCTCGTTCAATTGTCTGTTGTCAACAAAGGAAAAAAGCAAGCCCATGATATAGTAGGGTGCCCTTGTTTGTTCCCCCTGCATCAAAAATCGACTGCTAGTGAAGCAATAAAAATTCAGAATGTCAACCAAGACAATACCTCAGGCAGGTGGATCAAACTGGATATCAAATTCAAAGAAGAAGAGATATCTATCATAGGCATCTACGGCCCGAACTCACCACAAGACAAAACCCCATTCCTAGTCACAATTGAACAACTGATCCCCACACTAACACCCGCCATCATCATGGGAGATTGGAACTCAGTCCAGAACCCTAATTTAGACAAAATATCTCATTCTCAAGATCCCACACCTCAATCAAACAGCGCAGACCTAAACGAATTTATGATCAGAAAAAACCTAATGGACCCATACTGTCTCCTATACCCAGAAAACAAGAGATACACCTGCATCAGAAAAACCTCATTGGGCCGAACATCCTTCTCCAGGATTGACTTCTTCCTTGCAACAGATTCACTATCATGGGCCATACAAGACTGTACCATTCATAACAATCCATATCATAAAGGATTGGATCATAAAGCCATAACCCTAGCCATCAGACTCACTAAGGAGGGATACACAAGTAAGAGCTTCTATCGCTTTAACAATGCCCTCCTCACCAGCCAAGCTTTCCAATCTGAGCTACAAACACTATTAATCTCACAAACTCACCTACAACCAAAGGAGGACATACACACCAAATTACCTAAAATCATCAAGATCATTAGCTCAAAGACAACACAAATATCCAGAAGACTAGCCTCACCGAGAAAAGAAAGAGAAGAGACCCTAAGAAATGCAATAGAAATAGCAAAAATAAACCTGCAGAAGCATCCGAAGGCATAATTCTACGCAGAACTGCTTGATAAATCTAAGGAAGAACTATTGGAATGGACTAAACTCAAGCTCGACGGCCTCCAATTAAGGGTCACGGCAAAAGACTGGGAACTGAACAAAAAAATGTCCAAATTCTCCTTCCAGAAGATTAAGGCCAACTCCAGAAACTCCAAAATAGAATGTCTACACGACGAGAACGGCAACCCAACCACAAAAACCACCAAACTAGTCAACATAGAAACTACCTTTTACAAAGAGCTTTACATCTCCAAAACCCCTATAGGCGCCCTTATCGACCTCAAACCCAATAAAGCCCCAGGTAGAGATGACCTTTCTAAGGAATTTTGAATCGCAGGTTGGCACATCCTAAGCCAACTCCTCCTTAGGTTCCTCACCAGAGCATGGGAGGAAGAAACACCAGGCCCAAACCTGAGCACGGGGGTGGTGACACTCCTATACAAAAAGGGAAACAGAGAGGACATAAAAAACTACAGACCCATCTCACTCCTAAATGTAGCATACAGCCACCATAATAAACAGGATCACAAGAGGTTGTTTCCACCTGGATCAGACAGGGTTCATTCCAGGAAGACTCGTTTCAGACAACGTAATGACTCTTTGTGAATCCACACGGATAATTAATAAAAAAACGGATCACAACAACTATCCTCTTCTTTTATTTTGAAAAAGTATATGACCAAGTAAACTGGGATTTTCTACAGGCCAGCATGGAAAAAATGGGAGTAGGACCAGTCTTCCAAAAATGGGTGAGAATAATTTACAATGATGCACAAGGGATCGTTAAAGTCAACGGCTTCCTTTTCAACCCCTACTCAATGACAAGGTCAGTAAGACAAGGCAACCCACTAGCAACACCGATCTTCCTTTTCATCATGGAGGTCATCGCTGCCTTCCTGAGAAAGGACGGATCCATCGAGAGGATAGAGAACATCAGGGACGAACGTGGTCAACCCCTCCACATTCCTACTACTCTACTATTCACCGGCGATCTTACTGCACTCATCAGGGCTTCAAACTCATCCTTCCAGGCCCTGACAAGAGCAATGCAAGCATTCCATCTGGCCTCAGAAATTGAAGTTAACTGGACAAAAACAATAGGTTGGTGGACCCCAGAAACACCTCCTCCCATAGAGTTATCCCCGATAGGACTACAATGGACAAATCCAAACTCACCAATTCGTTTCTTGGGCATTAATCTCAATCTCAAAGGATGCCACCATATATCGACAGCTACACTTTGTCTTCAATGGTAAATAGAATGCACACCTGGAAAACCACACATACTTTCTTACTAGGCAGGGTACTAGCGCTCAACAATTCGATCTTAGCAATGACGTGGTATTCCACCTCCATCTGGTTCCCAACTACTGACTTTCAAAGCCAGCCGAGGAAAAAAAACGGCAGCATTCCTATGGACAGGCAATCTGGACAAGCTACACTTTATTCTGGCAGATAGTCACCAGCCCAAAAAGCCGAGGAGGGTTAGGACTCATAGACCCATCCCGCCAAATTCAGGCACTACAAATTGAATGGGTCATAAGATTAGCCCTCTAGTCCTGAATCATATCAGATAATTGGCACCATTTACTTCTCCAACCAACATGACAAGCTTCTTGTGGATTTTCAACAAATTCTAGCCACTTCCAAAAGGGAAACAAAGTCAATCCGACCAAACGCTCCAACGTAACAACAATGACACCCACCAGACTAAAACCCTCTGGGAGCAAATACTGCACACCTGGAGAATCATCTTCCCCGAAAACAGAACTGGTCCAAAGAAAAAAGACGAAGTTATCAGGCAACCCCTCTTTGGCAACCCACTGAAAGCCTCCCACTCTCAAAGTCAGAACCCAAACGAGGGCACTGACTAGAAAAGGGAATATGGCAAATCAAGCAGATCTGGAATGACCCAAACAAAACGTTGAAAACAGAAAGGGACCTACGAGAAAAACTAAAAGGAATACACAATCTACAAACTAACCTAAACCACATCGTAGACTGTATTCCTCTACAATGGCGAGTCCTACTAAAATCAGACCAAAAATGGCACTACGGCGACTTGGCTACCACCACCAACGTCCCACCAATCCAGGAAGTCCTCTCATTCAAGAATTACGAACCTCACAACAATAATTGGATATGCTGCGACATATACACCTTAGAGGAACCAGGAAACCCGGTAAGTTACATCAATACAAAAAGTAGAGCAGAAGGAGCATTCAAAAACAACAACCTGAGAAGAATCAAAATCATAGAAGGAGAAAGAAAAAGAAAATATAAACCCCACATTTGTGTTTGTAACCTGGAGATCAACCCAACAGAATGCACATGGAACTCCTCGTCTGGTTCCTCCCTCATCTCAAACCCAAGTACGTTAACTGACCACACACCTAAACTAGGCTATTGACTCTGCACCAAACCTATATCAATTTCCAACACAATATGCAATAGATGGACAAAGGGGGAACCACAACTAGCCAACATCCACTTCAAGCTTCCTTGGGCTACAACCTTCTCCACAAGACCGGTCAAACTGCCCAGCCTGAGATGGTTCATAGCCTTCAGAGCAGCTCCAGTAAACCAATGGTTGGCCAACAGGCGCAATCGTGAAAACAGAACAGAACAGGACTCCTGGTGCAAGGTATGCAACCTCCTTACCCCTGAATCCCTAAGCCATTGTTTTATGGACTGCCCAAATGTCAGATCCCTCTGGCAAACTCTAGAAACATCATGGTATAAAATATCAGACTCTCCCCTTCTAATCAACCCTGCCACACTATTCCTCGACCTCAAGCAATCACCCCCGCTCAAAGGCTTCGAAGCCGTCCTGTCCTCACAAATCAAGAAAAACACCCTACGGGCTGTTTGGGAAAACAGATGTGACTGCACCTTCAATGATTGATTCACTGCCCCAGAGAATCCACTCATTCTCATCAAACAGTTAATAGACACCGAAATCCATGCCCTCTGGGAAAAACAAGTTAACAAGCTCCCCACTGACCCCAACAATAAAAAACGAAATAATCAAAAAGTTCTCAACCTCCAAGCTAGGTAATGGGATACTAGGCACCAGCAACAATGACAGACTAACTCTAAAAAGTTGGCTAATCATAACACAGACACAAAGCACCTCAATAACCCCCCTAACCCACATACAATTACCCCCAAACCAGCCACCCACCACCAATACACTACTGAACCAGTAAAGACCCCCCCCCCCCCAACATCCCCACACCTACCACCTCCCCCCCCTACCCCCAAGCAACAGTCTTCATACCACCTCTATCCCCTACTACCCAACTCCCCCCCCTCACATCCTCCTCACACTACCCAGTACACCAAGCTTTTCCAAAACCCCTCAATCCAGCCTCCCCCCAAACCTCAACACCGGCCCTTCCAAGAATACCCTTACTGAGGGACACCAAAAAAGGAACATTATTTTGCAGTAAATGTTTGATTCACCAAAAAAAAAAAACAAAAAAAAACCATCCTTGCAGAAACAGAATGCGTTGCCCATCTGAAAAAGTTGGGGCCGGGCCATCATTGACAAATCCCGTCAGCGGCCTTCGTCTTGTTTCCAGCCTCCGAAAGGGGCCCGTGGCCGATGTATGGCGTGTACTGGTGGTTTAAACTCCCACCGTGCCTCCCCCCGCCCCCTCTCGCACCCTCCGGTTAACACAGTGCTGCAGGAATGCTTGGCCTTAAAGAGGCTTTAGAATGGTGGTGGTACAGGGTTATCTGCATACTGTAGACAACCTTATTCCCCTGGACATAGCACCGAGTCATCATAGCTGTATTCAGCGCAACTTTCAGGCAAGATACCGATATAATGTCAGGTGCTATCTTCAGGAGAAGACGGCAAACTATTTTGTGGTAGCCTTGCATGAACCTGGTTTATCATGTGAACCACATTCGCCTACTGTTTGGACCAGGTTCAAGTGCCTTCACATGAATACGAGGATGAGAGGACAACTTGATCAGCCCCTATGGCAGCAAACTTACACCCACACAAGAGAAGGGAACGCCAGCTGCCTTTTTCTTTTTGATGGTCCCTATGGACCCATGTATCAGAGCGGTTTTCCTCAAAGGCAGGAGGATAAATTGACATGTACCTTTATACGCTGGAATTGGACATCGATGAGTGCGGACACCATTTGCAGATGGGCACGGACTGCCGTCTGGTACTGTTCCTCGGCTGCCACAGACAGATAGACATATGGATGGACACAAAAGGCCTCATAAACATCACATCACAATTTGTAATACCGAACAAAGAAGGACTGGACAAACATAGAACCCTCGTTCCCACTACGCCCTCCCTAGGATTTCCCAGACCCCTTCCCACCTCATGCCCTTTCTCTGGCAGAGATTCTGTCCTGAACATTTTACTTTTAACCTGATCTCCTTTACATCCACATACATGTACATACACACATACAATTAGGAACAAACACACACACAATTAGGTACACACACACATACATTTAGGTACAATTATGTATATTATGTACACTTATAGACACCCACATATGGAACTCCTCCCTGGAGCCCCCTGGGGAGGACTCTGCGGATGTATATATCTGTCCCTTATTTGCCTGTTCAGTTGGTGTAGTCAATGCTGGCAGTCTGAGTATCCTGAGCAATCTGTGCCACTCGACATGGTTTGGAGTGAGTAGTTTCTCTAAAACTCAGGATGAAATTTCAGCTAGTTCATGCCATCAACGGTAAATAGTTTATCTGGCGCCCTTCTTTTGAGGGTGAAGAGGTACAGAAGGCAATGGAAGTTCTCAAAACTCACAAAAGACTACACCGCCGGACACTATATAGGCCTGCTCAGTCAATCCCCTCGGTTGCAGGGCAATCAATGCTGGCAGGCCTCACGGTCACTGTTCTCACTATTCTCAGACATTCGCATTTCTCATCACCAGCAGGTGATGCTCCCCACCAATAGATGGAGCCTCTCCCCAGGTGTTAGTGGTGTCTGCTCTTATCAGCAGCACTAACACTGGTGTGTGCGTTTTCCCTTTAAAAAAAAAAGAAAAAAAGAAAAAAAAAAGACAACAGAGAAAGTTTCCAGGTAGAATGTTGAGGTATCCAGCCTCGTCCAGTTGATGTAGCTCAGTGGTTAGAGCACCGGTTGGAAATGTGCATTGTGATATAAGGTTGCGGGTTCAGAACTCCACAGCGTTTGCTTGGGGTGTTGGTCTCGGGTGTTCTGATGTTCTCTGGCATATCGCACGATCATCCCATTTCCGGTAGTTGCTGATACGGTAGAGTCTTGGATTACATGTTACAAGGTCATGGGTTCAAGCTTGGTTCGGTCCTTGGGGGGGGTCCTTGTCCAGCTGGCCCGTTCTCTCCTCTATACATGATTCACAGAGTACACATACACACATAGCTTGCGAATTATATATTGCTTACAGGTTACATACACAAGGTTCCACACATGATACTGTCTACACAGAACACAGAATATATACACAAAAAACAGGCTGGGGAGCTAGTCACTGATGGGGTCTAGTGCCTGCAGTAGGTTCAGGTAGGTTGGATAGGGTGCCATTGGGTGCAGTTCCTACTGTCATTCGGATAGAACTGTCTGGTGGCTATATATATATGGGGCCTGCAGTTCTTTGTCTGGGCATGGCGTCCGAAGTTCCCGTTTGACAAGGTTCGTCCGATTCGGCTTCCACCAGGGCTGGGGAATCTATCAGCCCTGGTGCCTATCACTGCTGTTCGGTCCAAGTTGCCTGCCCGTTGGTAGGGCAATGGTCCTGAGTGCTGGTCACACTGAGGCAGAATAGTGGGATAGGGGGTGCGCTAGGAGTATTGACGTGAGGATGGGTTGGGAGGTGGTCTCATATTCCAGGACACCCACGGCTCACAGTTCCAGGTGATCACTGTGCACACACTGACTGGCCTCTACAACACCCTGGACTCTGTTTAAAAAAAAAAAAAAAAAAAAGAGGTATCCGGCCTCGTTCAACTTCTGATAATACATCTGTTTCTCTAGAGGAAAAAAAGCAGAGGAGGGTGGACGCAAATGCCTCGTAGACATCACATCACAATTTCAAATACCAAGCGAGCAAGGGAAGCAGGAGGAAGGGTTTAAAAAAAACAAAAAAAGGAGGGGAAGGGAGGGAAGGGGTATGAAGGGTAGGAGGAGGGAGAGAAGGGGGAGGGTAGGCAAGGGTGAGTTCCCATGCAGCAACAAGCTACGTTGTTCACCAGTTAGCTGTGTGCCTAGCGTGTTTTTGCCAGTGCTCACGGGGGTAAAGAGGGCCGCAGCATACTGGTAGTTTAATTGACGCCTGAATCCCACACTTTGAAGTGGAGAGTACCTCTCTCTCTAAACCACCAGTATGAGCCCCCTCCTCTGGAACTTTCACCATATACAATTGGGGCGTGCTCTCAATGCACCGGTCCGGTGGGGAGCCGTTCAATTAGTTTGGGCTGTGATAAGCCAAGCTCCGTACCTTGCGGCTTCACGTACCCTTTGGACTAAAACCCGAAGTAATCCCCAAAGTACGGATATTGACTGATTACAGGGAACGGGGTCCGTTTTCGAATTTTGTGGGCCAATTGCACGCATCTTTTGCGATTGCCCTGATCCTTGTTCAAATTAGTCCCGAGCGTCCGATTAGCGATCAGGCGGGAATTTCAAAGAAACGGTTAAGAGTTCGGTTGACGGCATTTTTCGTTTTTTCTTTGCATCAGCGCGTGCGCAACCATTTTTTAATTCTTGCTTGCCGCGCAAGCTCGCTTTCCGCTTTGCGCACGCACACCGACTCCCTTCTTCCTGTCCTTTGTATCCGCCCACCTCTTCGGCTTCCTCCCAGCCCTTCGCCCGATCCCTTCCTTGATTCTTCGGTGCAATTGATTGGCAGTCACTTGGGTTGGTCGGATTAAGCTGCGAGAGCAAATTTACATGCACGGATTGATCGACCACCCCAAGTGAACGAATTTTTCGACCTTCCAGAACCTTCTTCCTTTTGTACTGCTCATCTACACCCCTCGCCACCCGCATTACATGCTGGTGCCCCACCGCCTTCCCCGCTATAAATTTGTGCAGCCCCTTCCTCCCGCCCTCTTTGATCTCAGCTGCCATGCTATGCGAGCTATGCGCGAAGACTGCAGCGCCAAACAGGCTTGACGTGCCCAAGGACGGGCGAAATGACAGCGTGGGAAGGAACTAGCGGTAGACTTGGGGTAAGGCAGTCAGAGGGGCTGAGCGGTCGTGAAGACGGAACGTAGACAGCGGCAAGGCCTTGTGGCTATGGTTGGCTTGCATTCGGTTGGGTTGGTGGCTGTGCACGCGGAGTGCCAACATTGTTGTAATTTTTGAATAGCAAGGGACGTGGTTCTTCTCCATCGCTGCTTTGTCCAAGTGTCATGTGTGCCTCATACTAAGTGTGGATACTCAGTCGCATGCATGGTGGGGGCGTATCACAGGGGTATGGCGATTTACAGTATTTAATATATCTACTCAAATACTGTTTATCTGATCAAGCGCTTTTGTACCGATGACAACAACAGGATTGCGATTCACTACAGACTGACAGAATTGAATTTTGACGGACAGAATTGAAATTACGACTGACCCTAGATAGCCCAAGCTATTAATAGATTCAGTGCAGAATTACAATTCACAGTATCAACACCTTTCTAGTACAGAATTCACATTCACAGCATATAGGATCCAACGCAATACTGTCAGGCAGTCCCATAACAGATTTGAGACAGAAAGAGTCAGCAGAGGGGAAGATATGAGAAGGGGCAGATAGGAAGAAGATGGCTATGGCTGTCATGCAGTTTGACAAACCTAGATTTGGACTCTAGCAGACAGATAGACCATCGATTCTGACTATACTGACACTAACAATTCGCTAGACATAGATTTATGTGGAACGCACTCACTTTCAGAGAAAACTGCAGAGGATGATGAAGATCTGGCTATGGCAGCCTGAAACCCTCAATTCGTCACTTTCTTGCAGAAATTCCTCCTCTGATCTCCACGTACAACATCTCTTCAAACTTGTTGATCTTGTTCAGGATATTGAGGCGCTTCAACCCCACTTACTAGATTCAGTGAATTTAGTCCAGTGGCGATCTAGCAGTCAACTGAAGATTTGTAGGCACTGGCCTAATCAGCCCCTGATGCTATAATTAGCTCCAGATGGGGTCAACTCTGAATGGGATTGACTCCGACAGTCAATCCTACTCAGCACCACTCAGGGATGATGCCGCCACTCAGATACCCTTAGTGCTCAAGGGTAATTCACCACTCTGAGGCAAATCGCACATTTGCCCTCATGGTTGACTTTGGTGAAATAGCCCTATTCTCGCCACTTTCTGACAAGCGCCCTGGCATGATCAGTGCGCTTGTTCAGTCCAATCACTGCACTCTTGAATTCGTCGTCTGAAATCTTCTTCTCCACTGCTTCAGTACTGGGGAAGACGAACTGCCATGGAACTTCTCGCTAGTAGGTCTTCAGAAGAAGAAGATGCCTTTGTTGCGCTCAACCCTTAGTGTCCCTAATCCTACCCTAGCTCCGATACCAATTGTTATGAACTTGGTTGTCTTACGATTTTCTCGCCACTCACACATAGAGTATCTCACACACGCCCATACGTGTACAAGACATAGGGGAGAGGAGATAGAGTCCAAACTGTACACAGACCAAGATAAGCAGCGGAATTCAATCATGCACAGATGGGGAGAAGACACACGGAGTTTCTCACTCCCTGACAAACTCCCAACAACCAATCACAAGAAGACACATGCGAGGATAACAATAGGATTTACACTGATGATGAGCCAACTCAAACCAATTGTTCCAATTATCGTTACGGAGTTTATCCCAGTATCTCGCCACTCTCAGAACTCCACACCACTCTCTATCTTGCACCCATTTAGTAGCGCAACGCAGAATCTGCCTCCCCGAGGCCAGCGCCAACCATCCAGATGAAGAACATGAATTGCGATGAAGTCTTAAGTGTCGATGAGTAACTTTGACGAAGAAATGGCAGCTATGGTTGCCGCACCACTGACAAGCCCTGACAGTCTCTGAGGAGCGAAGGGGGACAGTGGTCCACCCACATACGCTCAGTGAAGAGCCTCTGCACAGCCCAGCCAATCGCAGATACCCTCAGGGGTAGATGCGCAGAGGGTGCCCCAGCTATGGCAAACCCTGGTAG